TACTGCTACTGCTACTGCTACTACATGTCTTGCGGTTTGCCTTGCAGGCTGTGATGCTGGCGCAGGCGGAATCGCGCAAGCTCGGACCTCCTCTCAGCTTTCGAAATCTGCCGGAAAAGGATGGATGATCTGCCTGGTCGAATTACGGTAGATCAAAGCTTCCTCCCAACTTCTCAGCATGGGGGCCACCCGTCCGGCATTTTTGTCAGCTGCACTTTGTAAGCTCGACACTTCTAGTTCCAGCCTGTGGGGTTCACCCCGGCCAAGGCTTCGCCTTGCGAATAGGCAAACAAACCACGGCGCAAGAAGTACACCCAGCAAACTTTGGATGCTTCCAAATCCGATCTAGCAGCTGTGCCCATTGAGGTCATGACTACGTCTGCGCGCCCAGTCGGGGAGAGTCAGCCATCACCACAAGAGACCACATGAAATTCAGCAAGCAATCGCTTTTTTTGCTGGGTCTTTAAAAGTGTTCAGAATAAGTAGAGCATGAAGCAGAAGAGAAGATTGGAGGCTCAGGCTGAACACGGAGCTTTCATGCTTAGGGACCACGCTACAGATCTCACTGCGGCTTGTCAAACAGTAGTCCTTTTTTGGCATTTCGGTACTTGCTTTAGGTGGGCACCGAAATGCTGGTGGTCGGAATCCTTGCCGAGGGCAACGAGAAAGGATGCAGGGCCTGCGACCCAGGGCAGGGGTCCGTCTCGGGAATTTCTGCAGCCACACATGGGTGTCTTGGTCGAGGCGGTACAGTATCGAGAGCCTGTGGCGAACCGCCCTTGTGGGGTTGTTTCTGCGAGGCCTTGGAGGCCGTCGGCATCTCCTTGCAAGAGGCATCGAACGGGCAGCAGTAGTGGTCGTCATCGTTGTCTTTACAGTAGATTTCAGGGTACGACAGGTTTTGCATGGAAGCAAGAAGGGGTGCTGTCGTCCCCACTAACAGCTGGCTAGCCGCCAGGCCCGAGGAAAGCTCCACGACATGGTCGGCACTGGCACCGGCGGCAAGGTTAGGGTGCAAGGATTGTTGGCTGCATGCAGGGACACGTGGCCAATATGGCCAATGCAGAGCAGTGTAAGAGATTTAGGTAGCGCCGGCAAAGATTTGGGACCTGCGATCTGTATATCCCTGTCAGAATGTGGAAATTCCACTGACGCAAGACGCAACGAAGGCCGGAGCCAACATACCACTTTGAATGCCACCTTGTACTAACTTATACACGAAGAGCTGCCTCGCATGTTTACATGGATCTCGAGAGACCAGAGATGGAGGTTCCAATCGCTCGCAGAGCCCCATCCCACGAGTTGAGCGCCGCATCTGGTGCTCTCGTCACAAGTCCCTTGAAGCTGTTGTCGACTTTCAGGTCTTAGAGGAAGCCCTGCAAGTGGCAAAAATGGAAGACTGTGCTATGGCCGGCGGCACAGTTTGTTGACATCGATGTGAGGCATCAGGGTCCTTCTAGCCGGGCCAGAATTTGAGCGTCGCTGGCAAGAATTTAGCACTTGTCGTTAACACTTGTCGAAAAGGTTGTAGAAGCAGTGGAATTATGGAGATATGGAAATTGAAATTATTCAATTCTGGAAGGTCATCGGCTCCTGTTGGACAGTATGTTTTTGTTTCTGGTTCGCTCATACAGAACATTGTATTGGTGGCAGCCATCGTGGACTTGTGTAGATGCGTGTGTGTTTGTGTGTGCAATTATACACTGATTATACACACATACATCAAGAGTCACAGGGATGTGTGATTCGTACATCGGTTCATGTCGTCATTTTTACGTAAGGGTTGTAGAACGAATTGGTATCACTAGGACTGGATGGTTTTGTGTCATCATCTGCAGTGTTATTCTGGTTGGAGTTGACTGCATTTTGGCCTGTTTGTTCTTGCCAGAATCGCACGAGCTGCTTTCGTGTCTTGCAACACAGCTCGCTTCTGCACCAAGTTCGCATGCTCCCATGTCTCGACCACATCGAGGTCAGCTCGGAGCATGTCCTGAAGGCTTTGATGGCGCAGGCGCATTCATCCACAAAGCCATGAGTACTCCCACTCCCGCGCAGTCGTCTCGAGCAGTTGTGAGTCCTACAATCTGTGATGGTACTGCAATGGAAAACAACCTCAGCAGATGCGACACCGATACTTGGGCTGCCACGCTGATAGCCTTTGTTTCTTTGCAAGTCGTGGAAACTGACAAGTGGTGCGAGCCGTCCCTTCGACCTGCAGATCTGGCTGAATAAAAACGACAGGACGAAAGCCTGGGCACGAAGTTGATTGGGTCTGAATCCTGGAAATCATGTCGTGCTGAAGTTCAAGTACGCCACTGAAGTAGACTTGTTCTGTTGTTGTGCTTCCTTACCTGCGGTTCATATAGGAATCGGCTAGATTGTAGAATTTGGGGGGGTCTTGAGATTGTCCGGGAGCAGCAGACGTGGGCAAGAACTTGGATCAGCTATCGAGGCACATGCTTCGATGCGAGAGCGCGGAGGAGACCCGAAAGAAGGCAGGAGTCTGGAGTTTGGACCGGTGGGCTTGTAATGTTCATTGTAAACGCGCCGCATCTTCATTTTTATTTGCGGTTCGCAGGGTCGGGAGGCCGTTTTTGTGTTTGGACAAATTACAGTAAGGGATTCCACCCACCAAACCCACTTGTGGCGCGGGGGAGAAGGGAAGAGGGAAGCTCTAGGCCGGGGCCCAGGCGAGTTTCGATCCTCCTACCCTTCGTGCTGTTATTGTATTGCGTTTGTGCAGAGTTTAATACGGGCAGAGCCACCTGCAACTTAAGGGCTCGAGGTCTCTTCTGCACCCTTCGCGAACTGGGAGCTCAGGGAGCTTGCAGTGTTTTGGTGAATGCTTTTTGGAGATGGTAGGGCTGGTGGCCAGGTCTTTGCGAAGCTTGATGAGCAGGCCTCTGCAGTGAAGTGCCAGAGTCGCGAAGACGCAGTTTTAGAGCCCCACAACTTAAGGACCTCAAGCATGGTCAGATCGTGACAGGCCTCGCCATCTGTTCCAGTCACGGCAGCTGCACTCGAGGTGGAGCCTTGCCGGCATGGCGCGTCATTTGGGCTTATCCGACAGTTTGCCTTTGCCTGTCGTCAGTGCGTAAGACTTGGAGAAGCTGCAAAGTCACTTGATCAACTGTAGACTAGTTCATGGCTGTGAGTCCAGCTGTAGCTTTCAGAGTATGCCCATTTGAAAGACGTGCGGTCTCCCTGGAGGCTGCAACCCCCAAGGAGGACGAGCCGGAGCTGCGCCTCACAGAGACCTTGCGCTTTGCCGAGGCGGGCACTGGCCTGGTGGCCCGACTTCGAGCCAGCCGATCGAAACCCTCGACAAGGCTTTGTGCTGAGATTGCTGGAAGTCCCCAGCTGCGCAGGACCTCACGAAGGCAGCAGAGGAGGGAAATCTGGATCCACTGGTCGGCCGAATGCTCGGGCAGCATTCAGATTCCTAAGGAGAAAGCAGCTCCGCGCCCCGAGCTGGCAATCCCCAAACTATCCTAAACTGCCCAAACTCAATCTCAGATACCTAAACCCTCACGAGCCCAGGAGGCCGTACGAGAAAGCATTCTGTGCTACTACGAGCCTCCACTTCGGAGTGATTTCTTGAAGGAGTTCTGTTCCCGAGGCCGTGAAGTCCAGCTGGAGCGGACGATTCGAATCCTGGGCAGGCGGTGAACCGCTAAGAGACGTTACACCCTGTCAGTCGCAGCATCTTCTGTCACTGGTCACAGAAAGCGGGTGGTCTATGCATCTGAGGTCCAAGAACAATCCTGTCTTCGTGGGCGAAGCTGGGGTGGGCTTTTCGGTAGCATTTCATGGGAAGTTACCTGCTCACAGACACCTGCCAATAATCGAAACAACACCAATTCAGTACATGTTCAAGACCGCGACCTGATTCCGAATCCAAAAGGTAAAACCTCCATCGCTTGCGGCCTCGCCCAGCGAATCGTGCAGGCGGGCGTGCAGTAGACCCGCCGGTTTTCCTTGTCGGATCAGTGCTGATGGGAGGGCCGCGTGCCCCCAACGCTTCGGAACAAGCGGGCGCTCGCCTCGGGTGCATTCTTGGTCGGTTCGATATGCCAAGTGTTCCTTACAAAAGAGAACCGGATGTCTTTCTTTCTCAGTGCTCATGGTAGCACTGGGACGTGTCAAATCGGTTAAGGACGAGGTTTACGGCGATTTGTCGGGTTGACTGACATAAAAGGCTGTCGGAGTTCGGCCTTGGCGGTTTGCGTGACTGTTTTGGGAATGGTACAGTATGGGCTGGCAGTATTCGGATTTGTGCATGGTCGTGCTATGGCCAGTCGTGCGAGATTTTCTTGCAATCCGTGCCTCCTTGTCAGGTCCTCAGTCTCGACCTTGCACTCCTCCTTGCCGGCACCAGGCTGCTTTTGCGTGATTGTGATACTCGTGATGCTTCAAAGGAAGGCGGTCCGAAACATGGCAGGTACCGTGGGGACTTTGAAGAGCGCCTACGGGCTGTGGCGCGAGCACCCAGCAGGTGAAGGGAGCTTTGCTGGCATGAGGTGTGGGTAGCTAGCTGGCTGGGGACATGGGGACATCGGTATCCTGAATCAGAATAATTTCTGGGCTTTACGATTCTTGGTATGATATTCGGAGCTGCTGAATACCGGTCTGTGTAGCTTCAATGGCACATGAAGGCAAGGAAGGACCACGAACAATGGGAAAGCCAAGTTCCTCGTGGCTTGCAGCAATGTTGTGGGTTCATGTCAAATGTCGTACGCCCAGGTGAAGGAAGTTTCGGAGAGCAATCGGAGGGTGATCCTGGTGATCGATGAGGCTTGCTCTTGGTGTTGCCACAAGACCATGCATGTGTGTTTCAATCTGCCGTCTTCTGATAGAGGCATCAGGTTCCTCAGCCAAGGACACAGCGAAGCTGTTATCGGGTATATCAATTAACGAAACAGGCTTTGAGGCGCCTCGACTTCTTGTTCACTTCAGTCTTGCCCCCTTCGATTCTGATGCCGGCACGGCATCCCACCCCACAACGCCAAGCGACAGTGACTAAAGTTTTTACGCCTATCGCTTCATGTAACACGTTTCAGGTGAGACAGGCTGACCGGAGAGGAAGGAGAGAACCTGAGTGCAGCATCGTTCCAGTGAAGGAAGATGTTCTGTAACTGTGGGCAGGTTCACACCCTTGTTGGTGCTGGCAGCAGTGGAGGCCCAAAGTTCGCCTTTCCGCTGTGGTTGGAGGATGCTAGCATCGGAAAACCCGAGTGTTGGAGGTGAGGGTGGCGGCATGGATGCAGCCAACCTCCTCAAGCCGGCACTAGCAAGGCACAGTGCTGGGAGCAAAGCCGGGCTTCAGAACCAACATCAGGTGCAAAACCTTGCCTGACGAGCGCAAAGGATGTTGAGAGCCGAGAGTATGAGTATCAGTATAACTATGAAGGCGTTCCGACATTCGTACCAAGATGTTTCATTGGTTGCATCCCGTGCATGTCGCTGGATTGGCAACAACTGCTTCGGGAGCTCCATTCCGCATCGTGACGTTAACAGCAGCAACTAAGTCACAGGGGGCAGCTGCAATGCATCGGGGCGACCACGCTGGACGAGTACCGGCAATACATTGAGAAGGCACACGCTCAAATCAGGGATGTTTCTGCCGAATCCGTTTCAGGTGAAGGTAGCACATGCCTGAGCCAAGCTTGTACGGGTGTCGACCGAACGGGATGCGCTGCACAGGCCGCCTTATCAAAGGGATCTTTGGAAGACCAGTAACACAGTGCAGAGCGATGCCAGAGACTACTTCGCCTTGCGCAGGCCGTCTTTGTTGTCGAGGTTTCAGGTGCAAATGCAGACTGCCAAAGCAAGCACCAGCACGTCGAGTTTCATGTCCGGTTCAGTCACAGCTCCAACTGCAATTCCGTCACTGTTGTCCTCTGTGCCATATTGTAGAACATTCTCTGCCTTGTCCAGGAACTTGTGTGGATGGAGTGACCGCTTCAGCATGGCTTCGGTTACGCGTCAGTCACATGCAGGGTTCGGGGTGCAATTAAAAACTTGCTCAGCATGAGCAGTGCGATCCAAATATTTCAAGCATAACGATGCCAGTGAAACTTCGCCGGTGCAACCCGGGACCAGGATCCAGCCCTCGAGCGCCGTTTCCAGCCGGTCCTTGTGCCCGAGCCAACCGAGGCAGACCAGCACAGCTGTGTCTTGAAGTTGTCAGCAGCAGTAAATCAGAATCATAACAACAAGAATGGATGCAACGCTGGGTCTTGCAAGATCCTGAGACCTTCAGAAGTAAGCATCATCTCCTGTTTCTGTACGGCTCCGTCAAGAGTAGAGTCGGCCAGGAGGAAACCGAGCAGATCTTGCTGGGCCTGGCGCCGAAGCATCGGTCCCGGGAATTGCTGGAGAGTTGACTCGATGAGCACCGTGTGTGTGTGTGTGTCTCTCTCTCTCTCTCTCTCTCTCTCTCTCTCTCTCTCTCCCTCTCTCTCTCTTTCTCTCGCTCGCGCTCTCTCTGTCTGTCCGCGCGTATATATGTACAGTATGATAGTATATGCAGGCAAACAGCTAAATAAGTAGACAGATCGATAGGTAGATCGATCGATCGACAGTCGACAGATAGATAGTTAGTTAGGTAGATAGATAGCTAGATTAGATTAGATTAGATTAGATAGATAGATGGACTAGTTGGACTAGTTGATTACTTTGATTTGCTGGGTTAAGATAGACAAGTTCGATAGATAGACAGATAGAACGATAGGTAGAGAGACAGGTAGATAGATAGGTAGATTTGAGTACTAAATAGAAAAAGGAAAACTCGCTAAATCAATAAGTGAATTCTTATGTGTACACATACGTGCGCGAGTGTACTGGCCACCTTACCTGCATTCGTGTCTCGGGTCTCGGCCGGTGCATAGCGCGCTGGTCATGTGTTTGCGGAATAGCGCTGTAATTTTCGTGTGCATGGGGTATGGCGTGGTTGCTTGGATGTCCCAACGTTCCAGATCCCTCCACGACTTGTTCCAGACCTTTCACGGAGACTCTGTTTTCCAGAATTGCCTTGGGCTCTGGAAGGGCGAGGTCATGGAACAGCTGAGAGGCCTCGTGTGGACGTATGTTTGGCATGCTTGTGTTCCACTGAGGTACGAGCGCCACCACCAGCTTAGCCACTCGGCTGCTAAAAGATTCAGCTATCATGCACTTATGACATGTATGGGAGCGGTTGAAGCCTCCACCTGGGCGCCTTTCACATGCCCTGCCGTCTTAGCAAGAGCTGCCGGTCCTTGCAGAATCACTCCTGTTTGCTCTGTGGAACCGGAGATGTCATGGTTCAAGGATACGAGCCGGAGAGCATCCGAGCCGCAGTGCGCCTGGCCGCACAGTACATCAACGACAGGTTCCTACCCGACAAGGCCGCTGAGCTGGGGTCTTTAGCCACAAGTGCGAAGTGCTGGCCTCACCAACACGCAAAAGGATCGACACTTTAGTCAGGTTGGATACCTTGACAGAACCTCTGTACCAAAGCAGGTTCCAAGTATTGTTCCGTGCAGCAAAACCCCTTGGAAGGCCATCGACGTTATGGATGAGGCAGGTGCAAAGGTTCGGCAGCAGCTCTTCCTTGAGGCCGGAAGGGCTACTCCGAGGTGTGCCGTGCCGCTGTATCCAGTCTCATCGGCCCTCTTGCGCTTTGTCTGAGGCCGAGCGGGAGGAGGAGATGGCGGAGCGGCGGAAGCTCGAAGAGGAGTTGGATTCTCTCAAGGAGCAGAAGGGAATCGCTGTCTCCAAGGAGGAGTTTCAGGAGGCCCAGCGGCTCAAGAACCGCCAGGAAGAAATCGAACTCCGGCTACGGTCTCTGGAGAAACCCGTGCAGAGCTGTCCGACAGACTCGACGAAAGGCGCAGACGAGGAGAAGCTCCGGCTGTTGCGCGCGCGAGTGGAGGAAGCCGTCGCTGCAGAGAGATTCGACGAGGCCTCGGAGCTGAAAGCCAAGGAGCGCGAGGTTCTGGGTTGGTCCAAGGGCACCGAAGAGGCATGGGTTACCGAGACTGACATAGCGCAGGTGGTGGCCGGCTGGACGGGCATCGCCGTTGAACAGGTCTCGGCCACAGAGTCGGCGCGACTCATGAAACTCGAGCAAGAGCTCGCAAAGAGTGTTGTCGGGCAGTCAGAGGCTGTCAGCAGCGCATCCCGTGCCTTGCGCCGTGCGCGGGCGGGCCTGCGAAACCCTTCCCGGCCGATTGCCGCTTTAATGTTTTGTGGCCCGACTGGGGTGGGGAAGACTGCTCTGTGCAAGACTTTGGCGTCCTGCTTCTTCGGATCCGAAGATTCCATGATCCGCTTGGACATGAGCGAGTTTATGGAGAAGCACACGGTCTCGAAGCTCATCGGCGCACCCCCTGGGCTCCTCAGCGAGCAATGTTTTTTTTTAAATTTTCTTTGGGCCCTCTGTTTCCCTCTCCCGTTCTTGCATCGCATCTTTGCAACCTTTAGGTATGTGGGCTATGGCGAGGGCGGGACCCTCACCGAGTCAGTTCGCCGGAGGCCCTACTCTCTGGTCCTCTTTGACGAGGTGGAGAAGGCTCCTTTGCATGGGCGCTGGCAGAAGAGAGTCTAAGTCTAAGTGGGGCTTTAAGTGGGGGGTTCACCCTTGGTCCAAGATGCAAGGCTCATCCAGACGTCTTCAACACGTTGCTGCAGCTCTTGGACGATGGGCGCTTGACGGACTCCAAGGGCAGAGTTGTGCCAACCTGGCACGTTTGGGGAACTCTATGATGGAATGCGGTGGCTCTGCAACCAGCGTGTAAGCGTCGCCAACCCTGGAGGAAGAGTTGTGCATGCAATAATGCGGATGCTGCTGTGGTTTTTGTTGCTTTTGTTGCTGATTGGTGGGTTAGGGGAAGCGGCTAGAAGTTTGAAAGCTTCCAGGGAAGGCTCTTGCCGTGCCTGCTGGCCAGGTCCTTCAGCAACACACTGGTTGTCATGACGTCCAACATCGGGTCTGGGCCCCGGATGCGAGGTGCACGCGTGTATCTAAGTGCAAAGTATGTGCGTCCCTGGTGCTTGGTCTTGCGTCGGTACTCGTACAAGCTTGACTAATAAAGGTCATGTCGGCTCTGCCTGCAAAGCTTGTAGGTGCAGATAGGTGCAGGAGGGTCTGCGTCCTGATAGCAAAGCCTTGTGTGAACATGTTACTTTTCCTGCCCACCACGAACCCACAAAATGTCTCCGGCACAACTGGGGCTGATGGTGATTTGCGTTCAGCCGTCAGTAGGTGCAAATCGGCCTGGTCAGAATACGGAAGCATGTGTCTAGACTGTGTGGCAGCACACCGGTTAAAGCTTCTGCAATAAGATACAAGGTGGTCGAAGTCTGGGTTGAAAAGCAGATTTAAGAATGGACCCTTCCGGCCGCTGCCGCAGCCACGTGCACACTCAGGAGCCGCAGCGTCCAGAAAGGCGCAGGCCGGTCCGTGCTTGAGTGGACATTCGACAGAGTCAACAGTAAGTTTTTGCCGCATTGGCGGTGAGGCGCCACTGAGGAAGGATGATGACATGAGAGAGTCACGAAAGTCTTCAAAGGTGGCGGTGTCGGCCTGGGCTTCGGCACGATGGAGGCCCTAGATTGGACTCTCTGCAGTTGAGGGATTTAAAGCTGCTCATGGCCTGAAGGAAGCACTTTTCCTTGCTGAGCTAGGTCAAGGTCCTACAAGTAAGCGCCTACATGTTTTGTCCGTTTCCGTTCTGTTTCGATTGTGGCCATGATTATTGGTCGCTCTGTCATACTTACTGCATGACTGCTGGCATTATGGTCACCTTTCCGATCGTGACCATCGCCAGATGATATAACATGATCACGAGCATGTTGTGATGGCAGTCGTTTTCTCTCCGGTATTTCTGCTGGTCCGCACCTGTCTGCGCGAAGGACTCGGCAGAGCAGAGCTACCAGGCTTTCGGTGGGAAGTGCCAGCGGGATGGGCTTCGTGTATCGATTAAGCTTGGCGTACTTGTACTCATTCACGAAGACGACTTACAGCAGCGAGCTGGTTCAAACGCAGAATTTCAAACAATGTGTATCTACCGTACAATCCCGTAACGTACGTGGCGGTACCGTGCCGTACTTTACTGCAATGTGATTTGGTGCAAGGTAAAGTAATGTAATGTAACACTGTAGTGTAGCACTGCAATGTAATGGAGTGTAGTGTAATGTGTGCGTCTGTGTATGCATCTTTGCATGTAGACTCCTGTAGGCAGTTATGCATGTAGGTATGCACGTATGTGGGTAGTCTTCTGCAGACGTACGCATGTCAGCTGTTTCCAATGCTATAGACGAGGGCGAAGTTCGGAGAAGTTCGAAGCAAAGGCTTTCTGTTTCCAGTGATGTTTCGTGCAAGTAGTGTAACATTGCCGCAGGTTCCGCTGTGCAATAGTCGCAAGGTTGCTTTCCGGTGGCCTTGTGCATTACAAGCCGATTCTCAGAAACTTACAGTGTGCAAGCAGAATGTAATTTCACCAGAGCATCCTTGCAGGTCATCCGAGAGCTTGTTCACGAGGCCGCAAAGATTCGAGCACGCAGCAGTTGTGATTTTTGAGCCGCCAGACGCAGTAGACATCATCGAGTCTCTTAGGTGCAACATGTACGGGCCGCATGGTCGTATCAGAGGAAGGCAGCACACGATGACGGGCCAGGAGATGAAGAGCTTCTTCCGCCCGGAGTTTCTCAATCGCCGGGACCCAAGTTCTTGGGTTACATCAGATCAGAAGCATGGGTTGTGCAGGCGGTGCTTGCATCGGGCATTGAGCACCCTGAAGTTGTAAAGATCCGAACAGGAGCTGTGCCGGCTGCACAAATTGAAGCTGATACAGGATGATTGGCACCAAGGTTTAGACGAGATCTGTGTCTTCCGACCGCTGACAAAGGACCCGTGCATTGCTCTGTGGTTTCCAAGCTTTGTCTTCGGTGTTGGCGTTCTTCATCCCTTCATCTCCCGACAGCACATATCTTGATCCCGGGTGACTATGGCGCCTCCAGCATCAGTAGGTGCAGTACTGTAGAAGTAGCAAGAAGCCTCAACAGGAGAACATCCGCGCTATTGCTGAGGCCGGTGTGACAGGGGATGCAGCAATCGTGGCTAGCTGCATGCTGCTGCATGCTGCTGCATGCTGCTAGACTTCCGACAACGATCCTCAGAATCTGCATCAAGCTACAGATCGAGCTCTCGACCGTGTGAGGTGGAGTTCAACAAGGTGGCAGCACGACTCCTCGAGGACAGCTGTTCCCGTCGTGAACTAGGGTGGCACGGAACAAGTTGGAAAGATTCGCGGGATGTGACGTTGATGTCATGACGTTGGCCAAGATTTCCAACATCGTTTGAACAGCTTTGCAAAGATAAGGGCTCATGACTGGGAGGAGGTGCGAGTAATTCTGTTTTTGTAGTTCTATTGGCTGACGTATCGAAGATGTCAGGGTTTGTGGTGCCGAAACAGGCTAAACTCAACCACAGTTTCCCCCCCGCAGCCGGCCATCCCGGTCGAAACTGCAAAGCTGGCTGGAGCAATACCCATCCCTTGACGGGTCTCTGCGATCAGAGCGGCAGGCTGGCATGCACGTCTCGTTGACGGCGCGCTTCAAGGCGGGGGTGGGATTGCAGATGCTGTGTGAGCAGTGAGGAGTCTAGTTCTGTTGTCACCGCTGTCCTCCGGCTCCCATTCGCACACGGAAGCACGAGCATCCTCACAATCTCACAATTTTTGCTCCTCTTACGTAGATCTACTGTACTAACCTTGGGGGCTTCGGCACTTGAAGGTGCGACTGCCTGTGTCCGGATAGTCTTTGCGACTACCTGAAGTCCTGTATGGACATAGGAGAGCACTTTGTTGCTTGCTGTACAAGGTCTTTTGTCAGTTTCGCAAGAGTCAGGGCAGTCGAAACACATGTGTCTCCGCTAAGCAACCAGAAGCTGCCAAGAAAAGTCAGTGATGCAGTGTGAACCAGTAAGATCAGACGTGCAACGCTGCCAAGGAGCGGGTGGTCCAGGAGGGTTTCGACCCTGCTTACGGAGCCAGGCCACTGCGGCGCGCACGGGGCTCAGAGTAAGTTAACTAAATTAAACTATGTAAATGAATCTAGTGGACATCATGTGGGCTTCGTGAAGACATCTGACGCAACCGGCTGATAAAGATCAGATTTCAGGGGAGTCGGCAGAGAAGACACAGATCAGGCAGAGTTCTCAAGTTGAAGTTTGCATTTTGAACCGTATGAGTCTGAGAATCGACGAGATTGGTTAGGGGCTACGGAGGGTGGGGGTGGGGTGAGCCATGGTCAAACCCGTCCCCTGTTCAACTCCAGCCTCATCCCATCTGCCCCCTACCCTGCCCTGCTCTCACCCCTTAGGACAGGCACACATCAGGCAAGACCGCGAAGGTGTTTTATTTGTTTCCGGCGGCGACAACGAGAGCGTCAATCTGTCGATAACTCAACAAGACAGTGTGCGACCGAGGGGTTCTGCTGATCGCGCGGGTCAGCAAGCGCTCATAGATTGCTGCTAAGACAACGCGGAGCTGAGCCTGGCATTTCAGGCTCTGGTTCGGCCACCACTTGTCCAAGCCGCAACACATGCACTGGAGTTCCTGGCGGTTCTTGGCAAAGTCTCGCGAAACGTGTCGAAATCATTTGTCCTCCAACCGGCTCTTCGCCAAAACCATCCGAATCCATCATTGCTCCAGCTATGTTTGACCGCCTGATTTGCATGTCGAACCGCCTACGTTCATCTGCAATCACTAACTTGGTGACGACATCTCAACGCAGCTGCTTACGAATGTTGGTAAGTCATCGTTTGCTGCACCCGGACGCCAATATACAATAACCAGACAACAACCCATGTGGAGTTTGCAGGCTTCTAATGATGTCAGGCAGGCACCGACAAGTACTGCTAGGCTGCTGTTTCCGGAAGATTCTCCCTTTAAGGCAATCACGCGCTGGTTGGAGGCACAGCCATGTGCCCAACAGCTTCCCACTGTGGGATTGCACTTGCTTCCTTTGTCTAGGCCAGGGTGCTCCAAGACGGGATTCATCTGGCTAAAGTTGAGCTGAAGCCCCAAGCAAAACTGGCCTCCAGCCCTGAAGGCACCTAACTCTGCGCCAGGACTCTTTAGCGGAGCACCTCCTGGACAGCACCGCCCATCCGGAGGTGTGCCCAACGCCGTGCAAACGGATCAGAAGAGCTTTATGTTTAGCAGAGCTTTCCCTCAGGCGCTTCTAGGCTGAACACGAAGCAAATCGTCGAAATTATGCAGTGACGCAGTGCGGCACAATTCGCTCAGAGAGCTTGCGCTCTTTAGGATCGTGCTTCTGCTGCCCCTGTGTATGAGTTTGTGACAAGAACCCCGAGCATTTCACCTGCACGACACAAGGAAGCACCTCCGTGCAGGTGTACCAGTCCTCCCTCAAATCTTCCTTTCCGGCTACTTGAATCCTAATTGAGATGGTCTTTTGGAGTGGGTTCAGCTTTCAACCAGAATCGCCGTATCAGTCCTCAAGTGAGGATTTCTGGCTGTAAGCCGGTTTCGGCCGCAGGAGAACGACCTGGAGCAGCGAGCTTTGGTCGCCACCTCAGTTGTTTTGTTCTTCTAGGTGTTCGGTACCACCGAAGGGATGAGTCAAACACCCACCAACATGGCTAGCTAGGATTGTGGGATGCAGCATGTCAACTTGGACTAGCTTCCCACCGTGTGGGGGTGGTACAGAGTATAAAGTGGTCTGTATCACTGTGATCAGTCATAGTTTATCATAATCACTCCAATTTGTGTCGTCTTGATGACTTGCCTGCACAGCGGCTTGTTGAGTAGTTGTTGTTGAGCAAAGCATGTTCCGAATTCAGGACTGAGCGGCCCATCTCGAGTTGCTTTAGTTTTTCCCACTCTACAGTGCAACAAGGTCGACCTCAGGGAGGACGGCTCCGTGCAGGCCGAATGCTCTTGTAAGAGGACTTTGAATGATTGAAGGTTGCCGCCGCCGCCACTTGATTCGAGCCGTTCAGGGCGGGGGATTGTAGCTTCCGCAGATGTTGATGCTCATGCTTATATCATTCTCTACACAGA